TCTCTCTCTCTCTCTCTCTCTCTCTCTCTCTCTCTCCTCTCTCTCTCTCTCTCTATCTCTCTCTCTCTCTCTCTCTCTCCTCTCTATCTCTCTCTCTCTTCCTCTCTCTCTCTCTCCTATCTATATCTCCTCTTCTCTCTCTCTCTCTCTATCTCTCTCTCTCTCTCTCTCTCTCTCTCTCTCTCTCTCTCTCTCTCTCTCTCTCTCTCTCTCTCGGTTGATCGGCATCTCAACTTTGAAGCCCACATTGACGCCATGTCCCGTAAATGCGCTGGGATCCTGATTGCCCTGAACCATGCACGCCATGTTATACCCAGTTGTGTCGTGAAGGGCATTGTGCAGGCACTCGTGTTATCCATTGTACGATACTGCATGTCTGTATATGGATCATGTACTGAGACCCAACTCCACCGTGTGCAGAAAATCATCAACTTCTGTGCACGTGTTGTGACAGGAAAGCGGCGATGTGACCACATTTCTGACGCAATATCGCAGCTTCGCTGGCTCACGGCTAAGCAGCTTGTGGCCTACCATACAGTGTGCGCTGTCGATCGGACAATAAGGTCAGGCCAGCCGGATGCCATACTCAAGACTTTTGGACCGCGAGCGCGTCAGCGGCACAATCATGACACCAGACGGGCTGATCTGTATACCCTACCAACAATCCGAGTTGAGGCAGGCAGGCGGCGACTCTGTTATCGCGGAATGTCACTCATTAATAACTCGCGCATTGAGCCCGGCATTCCATCTTTTCGGGCTGAAGCGAAGCGATTTGCTATGTCGTTGTGAGCTTCAGTGTTTTGGTGTCGCGCTCGCGCGCGCCCGCGTGCATGCGTATGTGTACGAATGAGAGTAGCCGTAGTGTCTTGTGTTCCAGCTTCCCTTTCTGCTCTACATAAGACGTGAATGAGTGAAAAGCCACGTTTATTGTGGACCTTATTCGAATACATCTGAATCTGAATCTGAATCTGAATCTCTCTCTCTCTCTCTCTCTCTCTCTCTCTCTCTCTCTCTCTCTCTCTCTCTCTCTCTCTCTCTCTCTCTCTCTTTCTCTCCCTCTCCCTCTCCCTCTCCCTCTCCCTCTCTCTCTTCCCCTCCCCAGGTTTCTCTGTCCCCCTGTCTTGCCATAACCCGCAGCACCCCACTCTATGCTGCCACAATGACCCACCCGTCTCCCCGGGCCCAGGGCTCCGAGCGGCAGGCTGACGCGGCCCGGGAGCGTCTCTCCGAGGGTCTCTACAGCGACCACATGACCATGGTGAACGCCTTCAACCAGTGGACCAACGCACGCGACCGGCGCGCCTTCGCACGGCAAAACTTCCTCTCTGGCAGCACCCTGGAGATGATCAGGTGGGGGCCGTGACGGCTTACACGAGGTCTCAGCTCCCACCACTGCATGGCCGGTAAAACCGTTCGACCTTGCACATGATTGATGTCTGATGAACTAATTGCTGCGGCATTAAGCGAGGTAATGCTTCTCGTAATTTCTGATTTACAGCTCCTGATGACTATTTTAAGAGTGTCTTTCATTATTAATTGAACTTCTCCCTGAGGTTCACTCCGTTAATCACATGGTATTGTAATTACAATGTCGCATGGTCGTTTGTTCTAATATGAGCTTGCTGTTGGCACTACCTGATTATAGCTGTCGGCAGGTATTCCTCATGACGGTGCGTCGTTCCTAATATTTAGGAAATGAGCCTACATACATCCGGAACCTGGAAACGGGGATATTTTAGAAGCTACATGCATTAACCAGCTGTCATCGGCTCTATTACGGTCTTGGGTATTGCTGGGTATTTGGCGCGCGTGTTACAACGAATATCTGGATCAGCGTCGTCGGTAGATCACCGTATAATTACATATACCACGATTATATAATTTTGAAGCTGATTCAGTAAATCCGTCAGCATTGTGTCGTGCAACATTGCGATATTGGTTTACTGCTGCATTGATAATGTCACACATCATGTTTCATATGTCGTAAACCGGACTATATTTGCCTTGCGACATCCGGATAATCAGTGATAATTTTGCGGGATCAACAGTAATTTTTTTGGTATTGCAGGGACCACCGATGCCATTAGTCACATTTTTATATTGTTTTTGCTTAACAAATGCCTCTTTTACTCGTTGTCATGTCCGTTGTGCACGGTGTCAGCCTAAAACACCGAATGGTCCCGTTGATCCCGGAAAATTATCCCTGATTATGCGGGTGTCGAACGAACGCTTGGTCGGCGTTTTGGTCGCTCATGGCTGGGCGATTCCCCTATATACCCTGAGCTGATGTATCCATTAATGTGGCCACGTCAGTCAGCCGTCACCGCCATGTCAGTGGCTCTCTGTGCTGCTGATGGGACGTCATGTGCAGCTGACGTATCGCCAGTACACGTCAGTCTCAGTCAGTCGGCTCTGAGGGTATCATACGCCGAGTAAAATGGATTTCCAGACAACCGCGTACGCCGCCGTCGAAGCGTCCTTCAGAATAGTCATTACATTGTGTAATTGAATCCAACGCACATATGTACGAGTATTCTCCTGCCTTGAAATACGAGTCCGAGTATTTCTATAGTCGGGCCTGACTTAATAATGGCATTTGGACGGGTGATACTGGAGCTGTCCTGGCGACTTCTGCACCGTGGCTTTGGTCCCGAGGTAACGGGATTCATGTTCAAGGATGTTCATATTTTATAGGAGCCGCATCTTTTCACAGAGGAGGTGCGTTGTGTGGCTTACAGCGGAAGTAGCGTTATTGGCGATTCTCGTAGGTCTTGAGTGGTGTGTCAGTGTCTGCGTTGTTCAGTGACTTTGTTCACTGGAATATCGGTTAACAGGAAATCATAATAGGACTAGGTTTACTGCAAGTGCGTGGAAGGTATTTCTGGACTATTTACCTTAATGTTTCATCCCACCTCATTTTAGGGAATATAATCTTTGGTTATGCTAGGTTGGAATGAAAGGATCGGCTGGCTCAGCTCGACCGTTCCGCGAAGACAATGTCCGGCCTGGAAGGCATTTCGAGCTCAATGAACGGTGAACTGAAATGAAATCCAATCATGAGCGCCAGACGGGTGTAATTTCATCGCGCGGCGCTGCGCAGCTGCAGTGGTTCTGCGCTGTTTGTAGTTCTCCCCCAGATCGATACACGGTTGTTGTTAGTTATGATAATGGAAGTATGACACGCTTTCCGTTATGACTATTGACTGCTGATGTTAATGGCACACCCTGTCATGATTTAATGATACACTGATCCATCCTGTCCTCCAAAGCGTAGTACCCATTCTCACACAAACTTACGGTTGCACCATACATTACAAAACTTCCTTATGAAACGCCACATGCAGTCATAAATTCACACGTTGCGCTTTTACCGTCCACAGTGGACTGTATGACCCAGTTAATGGTGCAGTTGCTCATAGTTGCCAACGTTGGACTAGTGTGTACCCTGCTGCTGTTTTACTAGGCTTCTGATTGATTACCGCCAGCCATCATTACATTAGATTACGTTGAGCGAAACTTGTCAGACTACTAGCCTTAATGTGGTGTTGGGAAGGGGAGGGGAGAAGCACCTTGGTTATTTATGCTCGTAGTACCCATCTCACTGAGCCGTTTCGCCCCCTCTGCCTCCATCTGTCACCGCTTTGTGTCTCACAGGGGCATGCGGCAGCAGTTCCTGGAGCAGCTGAGCAAGCTGCGGTTTGTGTCCGGCACAGACGCCCGTCATCCGTCCCTGAACGTCAACTCAGATAACCTGGCCGTGGTGCGGGCGGTCATCAGCTCGGGACTCTACCCGAACGTCATCTACGCACGGTGAGAGAATAACTGAAGGGCATGAAAAGCACGCTAGACTTAACCCGAACGTCATCTACGCTCGATGAGAAACTGTGACAATAAAGCACGAATGGAGTCCAGCTGAACGCTATCTACGCAGAGCATGGCTGCCCAAACGTCATTTACTTGCACCTGGTCAAAGCTTGTGTGACCTTTACTTTAAGCTCAATCATAGATCATCGTAGGCAATGCATGCCGGTTGTGAGGTTAGCGCTAGCTAGGTGAATATTAACGGTTAGCAAGTGGATATGGCAATGTGTTACTGCCCGTTCATGCATAGAAGAATTCATGCAATTAAGAATATTTTTCTTCACGATTTTACTCTTTCTTTTTTTTTTACTTGTCGCCAATTTTGTCAGTCCAAGGGGAGCGACGCCACATTGGCTTATCTCTCATATCCCGTATCTGGCGATCCATTCGCGCGGCTTACCCGGCTGGCACGCGTCTGGCATAAACTCACTGCGAAATTCGGGGCGTCATTTTATGTCCCAGATAGCTACCTCATCAAGTTTAATGGCCCTCATGTTTAGGAGTGGGCTTGTTTGTGAATTCAGAGCATATTCAATTCTTGCATCAAACGAAAGCGCCTTTGAACCCGTGCGGCATTTGCATGTTGAAGAAGCGGCGGCCTCTCCGAGCTGTCATCAGCGTGATATTTTCTGAGAAATACTCGACATATTTTCCGAAAACCTCGAGCCGACTTTGAGAGGGGCCACTGACGCATGAAGCTCCAGCTCTTCCCCTGGAAGCAGCGAGCACTGCGGAAGTGCCCTGCCCCCGGGCAGAGTGCCCCCCCCCCCCGGCCGACAGAGAACCCCCTCCCGTCGGGCAGACCCCCCGCCGGGATACTGCGGTGCTGATTGCTCCCCATTCACCGAAACGTGCCTGGATTAAGCGATTGAAACGTCCGATTGAAACAGCCGCGGTGGTATTGCTTGGACGTTGGTCCACGTCGAGTTACAAGGCAGAGCCTTACACGTGGGTAGGAACGACGACCCATGGGACGTTTCAGCAAGCACCCAGTGACTTTTGTGACGCTTGACATGGTGGCGTGACACGTTGACATAACGTGACACCGAGTAACATGCGTGACGTGTGACGTGGCGTGACGTTTGCCCTCAGGCCGTCCAAGCACCGCACCATCTTCTACTCACCGGAGGGTCGCGTCTCTCTGCACCCCAAGTCGGTGCTCAGCCGCGCGCCCAGCCTGCCCGGCCACTGGCTGGTCTACAAACTGAAGGTGAGAGAGGTCACTGACCCGGGATATTGTGGTGACGGAGTGTGATTTGTGATATGGCTATTGTGGTAAATGATGTCAGGATGTGGTGGGATGATGATTTACTCAGTTTGCTAACTGCATACATTTCGAGCTGATGATTTCCGTTTAAAGGCCCGAACATGTGCGATTATTGAGTGAAATATCGTTTGAATATGATAGTTATTCTGCTCCGACCATAGTTAAACTTCGGTTTTCCTAGCACTGCTGTAGACTAAATGCTAAGATAAATGTTTTTCATTGCGTAAGTTACAGTCGGTGTCGCGAATGCCAAAAGGCACCACATCGCACGAGCATCTAACGATCACACAAATAGCAGCACAGCGAACTTACAGTATCTCGCTTGTTCCCACTTGGTCGCCGCCTCAGCCAATTTATACCCCCAGAGTTTCCCACCGAGTGCTACCACGGAGCGCGCTGATACTGTCCTCTGAATGGGGTGGTGGTGACCTCCCATACCACTCCCCGGGGCACTGTTGGCGTGATTGTGGTGGTGGTCGCTGACCGCCCCGTGGGGGACGCGGGAGCCCACTCCCAGTCGGTCGGGCGGCTCTACCGATGAGTGTTCTCCGTACTGAGAATTACGGGCACGACGGCGAAGATGGGGAGGGGAAGGCATTCGAGGAAGGCTGTGGCGATACTACTCAGGTATATTAGAAAGATCGATTGAGTATATTTTATAATTTTCTGACAGTCTTCCGTGGTATAAAATTTTGTACTTAGCCAATGACAGGCTGATATGCGGTTAAAATACGGCCATGTCCTTGCAAAGTCATGTTGTTTGCAGCCATTGGTATTACGGCTTCGAGTATCGCAGACAATATTACGAATTCACTGTGGAATTATCGTTATGTTAGGTAATGGTCCCTGAGTAGCCGTTCTCAGCGTACGTAACTGCCTCGCCGTCATGGGTGTTGGACACACATGCATGTTAAATAGTGCCAAATAACAGTATGCGCAGGACACGGCTGTACTTGATGTTCTGTCGGCCTTCCGTCCTACTTGTTATTTTTTATTATTAAAAACGTTATTGCTCTTTGTATGCCGTTTTAAGCTCATTCCGCTTTGAAACGTCAACTCTTGGAATGCGCTTACACAAAAGCATTTCGTTGTTCCTTTCTTCGCTCCGTAAGCAAAATGACGCCGTTCTCTGTTAACTGGACCGTTCCCTTTTTGCCCCCAACGAATAATTAAGCTGTGTCGTCAGTGATGAGCTCATGTCTGCCCCGGTGATGGGGTCGTTGGCGTTAATTAAATCGTCGGCGTGCTAAGCACTCAGCCATGTAGACACCTTCATTTTCTCACGACACCCTAGTGGAGCTATGGCGCTAGTGGATTCCATAAGCTTGACCAGCGATAACGCTGTTTACCGAAAGACTTGTGGAATGCGTTTGATGCAGTAACTACGTGTGTTCTGGTATACTCAGTGTTTTACTCAGTAGAGCACCGTTCAACCACACATAAATGCTCCTTCCCAATCAGCAGATCCAATCATGCGCCGTCAGTAATTGGTCCCGAGGGACCCGTCATTTTCCTGCCGCTCTAAACACGGTGGCGTTGACGCTGCCCCGGCTGCCGCAGAAGTGAACGCAGCAGGCGTGCGCGGCCTATAGATTGGCTGTCAGTTTGGCCGGGTTAAGTCGCTGGGATGGCTCCGTAGGGGGTCGGCACGCTGCTTAGGCTGAACACAACAGATGTGTTTGGGGATACGGAACATCTGCGAGCGGTTGTGCAGCGCGGCGGAGACAAAGCAATCGCTGGTATGGCGTACGTTAAATATCAAACACAGCAGCTATGCGCAGGCAAAAGCAATGCGTGTTTTCGTCTATTTTCCGCCATCTGCGGTTGTTATAGGCGACAGTAGCGGTCCCTCTTGTATTGCGTCTCGAACCAGACTGCCACACGTTCCAACTGCGTCCGCTGACCCCGGCCGTCGGCCCATGCGCCGGCGGGCAAGTAACCGCAGAGGCGGCTCCAGGGAGGCCACTCGAGGAGCACACTACCACATCTCCCCCAAGTAACCGCAGAGGCGGCTCCAGGGAGGCCACTCGAGGAGCACACTACCACATCTCCCCCCCCCCCCCGGGAAGGGGCCGCATCGGAAAGGATGGGAATCTAACTCCGCACATAAACACAAACAGATCGTGGCCGACCAACAAACAAACACGATCGTGGCCGACATAAACAACCCTTATCACATGGATAACAATAACATGCAACAGAAAATGTCTAAATCTCTTCTATCAGTCGCTGTGTTCGCTTTCTTACTCTCGACGATCGGCGTACCGGCGGCGCCTCCGCCCCCGAGCGCGCCGGCCTCCGTCGCGCCGGACGGGTACCGCTCTGCATTCCCGCGCCGGCAAGCGCAGTCCCCAGTGTGCTGCTCTGCGCAGTCGGAGACGGTTCGACGACCAGATGCCTCCTACGAAGATGACACCGGTTTCGATCCACCACCCCACCGTCGTCGAATTGCACACGGTACCTCCGGTGCGGGCACACGGCAATCACCACACCACATCTCTCCCACCGGTGGGTGCGGGGATCCTGCACTCGCACTCGAGTTCCGGCGGGGAACTCTGGGAGGTCTCGTGATTGGCTGTCGTAGCGGTCTTTGACTTTGTTATTGCGCTCTCGTCGTCGGTCTTCAAAACCATCTGGAGTTTGTTGTTGGTAGATGCTGCGGTGTGTCGGCAGGGTATCCCGGATAGGCCGTCCGTAGACGAGCTGGGCCGGAGATGCACCATGGCTCCCCGGCGTGTTCCAGTGCTGTAATATGCCTCTGGTCCAGGCGTCTTCATCCAATCGGCACTTGCGAAGATCCCAGCACCTTCTGAGTAACTTTTTAGCTGCTTTTACTCCCGATTCAGCACGACCATTTGACTTTGGATAGTGGGGGGACGATGTGGTATGAATGACGCCCCATTTTCTAAGAAAGTCTCTGAACTGGCAGGAGGTGAATTCTGGCCCTCCATCAGTCCATAAAGCTTCTGGAACTCCAATTTGGCGGAAAATCTTAAGCAGTGCGGACATGACTCTAGCAGTGCTGGAGTGGGTACCAAGATATTCTACATGACGCCACCCAGTAAAGCCGTCAACAGCAATGAGATATTTACCTCCAGCATGACTGGCGATGTCGGCATCCAGGTGCTGGAACGGGCGCTCTGCTGGCTTACGCTGGATCAGCGTCTCCCGTTGCTGAGATGGCAGTTCACTTTGGCACCGCTCACACAGCCGCGTGATGTTGTCTATGTCGTTATCCATTCCCGGCCAGTATACTATCTGCCGGGCCCTGGACTTGGTCCTGTCCTGTCCCAGGTGTCCAGCGTGGAGTGTCTTCAACGTCTGCTTCCGGAGGACCGCAGGTATGACGACTCTGCAGCCGCAGAGCACGATCCCGTCATCTACCGACAACTGATCACGAACCGGCCAGTATCGTTTGACGGGTTCTTGCAATTCAGATTTGTTGCTGGGGAATCCGTTTTGAATTGTTTGCACCAGGAGCTGAAACTCTGGGTCCATTGCTGCAGCCTCTCGGACCTCTTGAAGGCGAACGTCTACTTGTTGGGCTCGGAGCTCGCCCCCACCAGATGGCGCTGGCTTTTCAGTAGCAGGCAGCTGCGGCTGCATAGGTGCCGCCACCTGTTCGTCGAATGGTGTAGGTGGCACTGCTGTCGTTCCTGCTGCATCTGGTTTGCTCCGATCTGTGCTGGTGCCGGCAGCGATTTGGGCGGTGGCTGGTTTCGGTGCGTAGTCGTCCCTCTGGAGACCATCTCGATGGTCGACCTCGATTTCGGCAGTCAATGGTGTAGCCGACCGTTCCGGAGCGCCAGCACCGGCATCCATAGACGGCGTGTGGGTGCTCTTCATCTGGTGCGGATAGTCTCTAGGGATGATGTTCAGTCCGCGGGTAGTGATCCAGGAGAGCAGCAGTCCTGTGACGCTGGGGAGAATGTGGATGCAGTCGTCCACTGTGACGTCACCCAGAGTGATGCGGACGGGCAGAACACCGATGGACCTGATGGTTTCTCCATTTGCCGCCTTCGGATGTTCTTCCGCCGGGAGAAGATTTTCAGGAAACTCGCCCATGTCTTCTAGAAACTGGAGACCTCCGACGCTTACATCAGCTCCGGTATCGGGTAGCGCGTTCACCGAGGCGGCTGCATACGCCTCCACACGCACCCGTACTCTTGGCGCGCTTTGTATGGACGCTGAAGCGACGATAGTTGATGCTCTGGGGTTTCCGGCTGCCGAACAGTCGTCCTGCTGAAATCGAACCTGGCCGCCGCGTCCCGGCGATGGTCGGGAACGGTCTTGAGACGCGGATCGGGGTCGACTGCGCGGAGATGTGGACATATCCCACGGCGGTGACGATTGGTTCCGATCCCGAGGCGGCGGCGACCGGCACCGGCCCCGCGACGGGGACGACGGGTACCGGCCGCGCGGCGGCGGCTGCGGCGGGTACCAGCCCCGCGGCGGCGGCGACCGGCTCCGGCCGCGCGGCGGGGACGACGGGTACCGGTCCCGCGGCGGGGACGGTGGGTACCGGCCGCGCGGCGGGGACGACGGGTACCGGTCCCGCGGCGGGGACGACGGGTACCGGCCGCGCGGCGGCTGCGGCGGGTACCGGCCGCGCGGTCCGTCACCGCTCCGTTGACGATCCGTCTTCAGCTGACACATAGCAGCGAGGTGGTGTAGTCCCTGACAGGCCCGGCACCGCTGACCGCGGGCGGGGCACACCTGATCGGACCGGTGCCTCCGCCGGCCGCACCCGGCGCAGGTCGTCGGGTCACCGCCCGCCAGGGGCGACCGCACCTGCAGTGCTGATGGCCCGTCAGAAGCGCAGACGTACAGCTCCTGTGCGTCGCGAGACGCCGCCTCCAGCTGCGGGCGAGTTCTTTAAGGGACGTTAGAAAATCATCAAAGGATTCGCCCTGTGACTGTATCCTCTCGTTGAACCTCTTACGTTCAATAACCTCATTTACCTGGCCATTAGCATATTTTTCTAAAGCGTCGATTGATTTTTTCACATCGATACGGTCACGTTCACTTAACTCCAGGTTCCGCAGAACTCGGACGGTGTCGTCCGTGAGGCAGTCTCGGAGGGCAGCAATCTGGACGCGTGGCTCCGCCCGCTCCAAGCCGGACAGTAGAACATAGTCTTCCCATCGCTCCCTCCAGACGTTAAACAGTTCGCCTCGGTCACTGGCGATGTCCAGCCTGTCGGGTCGAGTGTTTCGACCAGACCACACCGGGCCAGCCCCGGCCGCCGGGGCCACGACGGCATCACTCCGCGGAACGTCCACACTCTCACTGTTCAGAGACATCACTCCGCTCTGTCACCGTAACACCAACTACTTCTGTTCCACCCCGTGGTTAAAAACACCCTGCCGGCTGCGCCATGTTATAGGCGACAGTAGCGGTCCCTCTTGTATTGCGTCTCGAACCAGACTGCCACACGTTCCAACTGCGTCCGCTGACCCCGGCCGTCGGCCCATGCGCCGGCGGGCAAGTAACCGCAGAGGCGGCTCCAGGGAGGCCACTCGAGGAGCACACTACCACAGCGGTGAAGACGTTTTGAATTAAGTAAAACAAGTTTCTTAATTACCAACTACTAACCAGACAAGGTGTCTGAAACATTTATTTCTTTCAACCTAGCTCGGGCTCGTACGACATTCCTCGGTGCCGTTTCGGTGATAATCTCTGCGCCCGCGGCCGCCTCTCCCGCCTACCGCGGTACGCAGGTGTCGGGATAACTAACCGTAGTTGCTCGCGGCGGGCCGATTCGACGCCGGTGAAGCGGCTGTGGCGGGGATTGCCACTGCCAGCAGCATGTCTGGTCGGCGTACTGAGAGTTGACGGCCCGGAAACCTGGCCGTCTACGGGTGCTCGGCCCGAGCGGGCGCAGCGGCGCAGAAATAAACCGGGCGCGCACGGTCGGACGGTACCGGTTCGGTTCTATATCCTTGGCGGTGCCGGGCGCCCGGAGGCACAGTTGCTTGGGCCAGGTACTGCCCCCAGGCCCTCTGAGGACTGGACCTAGAGTGCAGGAGACCCTATCTGTGCGGCCGGTCAGAAAAGCGAGACGGCATCTGTGATCTTCGGGTTCGGTTCAGGTTACCAGGGACACAAGACGCAAGATATTTATGTTCTGTATGATCGCATTAATTTCTTACGGCTGATGAGCAATGACAGAACAAATGGCCTCGCTCGGCTCCTGACTTCTGGGCAATGCGATTCCAGGCCTGCAGACGCCGGTTGCCGACAAAGTTTACGTGGAAATACATCGGGATCATGGCTTACCTTGATAGATTGTCGGGCTCAAGGGAGACTTCTATTTGCGGCGTCGAAACGTATGGTGGTGTCCTTAGGGCATCTGACCTTTGCCCAAGTTGAGGAGATTTGCTGACCCTGTGTTGTCTAGGTTACCCTGGTCATGCGGGTCATGCCCTGGTCCAAGGCCATATATCCTGGTCTAGGCAAGGGTCTAGGGGGTCTAGGTTTGATTTTGTGGATTTTCCGTGTTACGATATCTCGTGCGTCTGTGCGTTTCTTTGTCGCGATGCGCTTATGCGTTTTGTATGTCGAGTTGTTTCGAGCACGCTATAAATGCGTCCCACCGCCCAATCAATGCATTCATGTAAGGGAGAGTGGGGCAAAGCGGCCACCCGGGGCAAAGCGGCCACCCATCCTTTTAGCCCTTCATAGTTGGCGTCAGTTCCAATTTATAGTTTCCGATTATACTTCTCTTCACGGTCGTTCGAATGAGCCAGAACCGGGGTTTCAGGCCCATCACCATTGTTCTGTGAAACACGGAAAAGCATTTCTTGCCAGGTTACCAACTATGTTTACAATTTTTAGATGTTATGTTATTCCATAACCGTTTGAAATTTTTATAAGCGTTCTTGTCCATGCATTGCATGGTTATCGTACATGTATTCTACCAATTCTAATGTTTTTTACCCCACTAATAGCTAAGCTGGAATATTTTTGTCTCGGACGGTATGCGCGGGGCAAAGTGGCCGGGGCAAAGTGGCCACCCACAATTGGCCTTAGGTTGCTTCCATCTGGTTAAAAAAATTATTTATATTCAAACGTGTCGTCATGCATTCATCTTGGCCACTTTTCAGTTGCATGAGTTACCAGATAATGCAACTAAATGTTTATTTTCATAAAAATCTTTTCTTTGTTTACCTACAGGTGGAAGATGATAAAGTAAACATCCAGCCTCGCTTAACCTTGTCACCATCAAATACCCTAGTCGTACACGAGGCAACTATTTTGTTTCTCATATCGGGACTTGAGAGTACGCCGGTGGCCGCTTTGCCCCAGGGTATGGGGCAAAGTGGCCAATATGCATAGGTTTAAAGTTTTGTCAATATCTTTCATATGTGAACGCCTTTGGAAATAAAACGCAGTTGAAATAAAAGGCAACTTAATAGGGATCACATTGGTATAGAAAGAATCTTTCCAAGTTTAAAAATCAAGCGTTGGCATCGTGAGAGGCGTTAGGGTGGCCGCTTTGCCCCACTCTCCCCTAATTTCATTCATAGATCGTAGGCAGAATTTTGTTTATAGGTATTATTCAGTCTAACGTCTTCATATAAAGGCATTTATCACCGTTTGACAGAAGCGCTGTCGGAGTCGTGTGCGCTCCTTTAGCAAGTCTGTGAGGAAGGCTGGCTATTGCAGCTCCAAACCCCCAGCCATCACAATGATTACGCATTACGCTGGCCAATCTATACGCGCTCATGGTACTCCCTTTCCTTCTTGGCTACCCCGCCGTTTTTATCATTATCCCTCGATCGTTACATCAAGCCATAATCACACATCACACCATTCTTCTCGCGGCACCGTCTGCCTCCATCACTGGGGGGCGAGCAGCTCTCCGTTCACGCCCACGATCAGCCCACTGTCTGAGCTCAGCGGGGCGTCACGGCGCTCACAATCACTCACCACTGGGGGCTCCTAGCCACCGCAGTGCTCAGCTGCCGCTTGTCTGGCTATTCATGAGATGTAAATGTATACTAACGGCCAGATAATGGTCGTGCCAATCAGCGTGATTATGCGAGACTCTGATGTTTGATAGTAGTCGACAGTTTGGTGGTATTTGAACTGATATTGGCGTAGTGTTAGTTGTCGGGTCTTAATTGTCGGAAGCAGAAGGGCTTATTTAGTTGCCGTTTATGATATCTGAGGTGGTGAATTTCCTTTCTGTGCATGTACCATTCAATAATGCAACGCATGTGTCGTCGCTCCCCCTCTTAGCCGTTCCTATCTGTCCATATGCCTACTCGCCACTCATGGTAATACCCAGGTATCCGCTATAATACCGAGGTATCCCCAGCCGTCCTGCCTTCACCTCTTCACCCTCACCCCACCTCCAAGGTCACCTTGAGTCCCCCTCCCCTCCCCAGAGTGTCACCAACCGGGGCCGACTTCAGGTCACGTTCCCTGTCCGTCATTCCAGCACTTTACGCCGTGCCCCGGGGGCACTGACCTCCCGTGGTTGCGTCATTCGGCCGACCTCCGTTACTGGCTCTCCGGACGGTCACTGGGGTCCACTCTGTCGCGGTGACACGGCCGGCCCCGGAGAGCCCGCGGGGGTCCGCCCTGACCGAGAGCCGGCCGAGACTCCCCTGAGACCGCGCTAGGGGCGGGCGCGGTGAACGGTGTCACCGCCCGGCGCAGTCCAATATCCCGTCTCGGCGCACTCATTTCGATGAGTGCGGAGAGCCTGTGTAAACGCCCGGTACGATATTGAAGGGCTCCGACCCGCTCTAGGTATGTCTAACCTCGGTAAATTTCGTCGAGAGTGATTGGGCCCGTACCTTGGTACATATATAGGCCGCCGGCGCCGATTTCTCATTTCCGTAAATGACACTCGTAGGGTTTTTATTGCCAGGTTGATGTTATTGAATCTGACCTCGTATAGGGTGAATTCTATTGATAATTGATGTATTCCTTTATTGTGTGTGATTCTATCGTATTTTCTGTTGGGATTGCCTCATAAATCACTATATTTATCGGGGATATGTGTTCCGGCGTATTATGATACATATACCCACACGAAATATTCGCAGTATCTTATCATATGCGGTATTGCTTCTGCTCAGATACTTGGTAGTCCTCAAGGCAAAATGTGTCCGAGCTTCGCGCAGTACTGATGTCATGGAACGGATATCGATTCACTCCAACGTTGGCCCGGGGTAGATGGCCTCATCCGTTCGATTTATGCGCTCTTGAGGCGACAGTCGGGAGGAATAGCTCCACCAATCACAGCGCTCGCACTCTGCCGTCAGACTCATGCCTTCCACCAATCACGTTGCGTCTGTCCCGCACACGACGTCACTCATGGTAACGCCGTTTGCTTCGACGTAGCTGCAGTTGCTGCCTGCACCGCTTGAACCCGACTCCAAGGGAGGCTTGGTTGGGCGTGGACCGCCATTCGACGACGAACCCATTAATACCATGCAATGGCTCCTCGTTTCTGCCACAAACTTTGTAACGGAGGAGATGACTCCGTTGATTTCGCCTGTTCGTTGGATTCACGAACCTGATGATTCACAACGGCTGATCTGCTGCGAAGTTGTTTGAACAAATTCAACTGTCTACATGAATTACTGGTTTTATGCCTGGTTTCATACCTGTAGGCTGTTTACTGGTTTACTGGAAGTACCTGGTTTTATCCCTAACGGCAAAAATCAGCCGCATTCTCGTTGCGACATGGTGTTCTCGCATGTTGCCCGTGTTAACAGGTTTTCTGTTTAACCAGTATCCTCCGGTGTACCCGCCGCTCGTCTAGCCAGTACCCTCTCCCCTATCCACCGTTCTTCTTAACCAGTACGTACCCTCATTTGTGACCTGTACCCGCCACTCGTCTGACAGCACCTCTCTGCCTCCGCCGTCAGATCAAGAGCAGCAGTGTGACGGTGCACGACTGTTCGCTGGTGTCGCCCTACCAGCTGCTGCTGTTCGGCGAGCGACTGGACCTGCTGGAGCCAGAGCAGGACAACCAGCAGCCGCTCATCGCAGCCGACCCGTTCGTCCGCTTCAAGTGCCCCCGGCAGACGGCCCAGCTCATGCAGGTTGGTGGGACAGGGAAGAGGGAATGGTGGATCAGCTGATTATTGTGGTAACTTGATCGAACACTTACACGCGTCTCGAATGGTGGACATTTTCAAACGGCTTCTTGCAATGTGTCCAAGAATGTAATGTTGCGGGGAAATCCACCCATAACGAAAAGTATAATGACATCCTAAAAATGTAAATAAAAACATCCATACGGCAGTCACCACGACTCATAATAATAATCTCGAACCCAAACGTCTAGGAGCAAGAGAAACACAAAGCTCGCAAACTCTCACAACACGCCAAGAAAACCGTTCGAATAACCAAAATGTTCAAATATATGACCCTACTTTAAAACTTCATTTAACATCCCGAATATCAGAATACCTTCAAAGTTTTATCAGTATTTAATATTTCTACATTTTTGTCTAGTGACATATATAAAAACAGTGCTTAAAAATGGTCGAAGTCAAGTTTTATGTAAATAACGACATCCTTTCCGGTCTTTTTTTTCCACATCCTCCCCCTAACGTAAAATGATTTTAACCACACTGGCTTCTTGTCTTGTGTGCGGTTATGACCAAGTAAGTGGAGTGGGCGCTCGGTTTTGACGCTTATCAGAGTAACTATAAACTAAATATATAATAGATTTAGAAAAAATAATTTGGTAAATACTTTGGCTATCAAACTGACACTAGTTTAAGCTTTTTAAAAGTTCAAAGCAGCGCCTGTATCGAGGCCGTAATTTCTAACTTGCATATGCAAATATCAACAAGCACTTTGCAGCCCCAATGCAGTGTATGGCATCCGGCAGTCATTTTTCATCGCAGTTGGAGCGAGCGTGACTGGGTTTGTTTTTCGCTGCCGTTTGTTCGTCGTGGCCTTGCACCTAACCTCATTTCGAATGTTTGCCCGGCTTCCTAGGGTGACGTGGTGACGACAATGTATGTATGTATTTACATCGTGCAATCGGTCCATGAACACATGGCTATTATGATTGACATGTCATAAAAACAGAACATCGGAATTCAGTTGCACAACTGACACACACATTCACGCACACACACTCAGCTCACATCACATTTGTACATCGCGCTACTCGTTTTGTTGTTTTGCCAGAAGATACTTGCGGAGTTTTAGCCTGAACTCTCGCGTTCCCATGTTGTGGAAACTCGGCGGCAATTCATTGTAGCCCGTGACGGCAGAAAACAGAAATCGTCGGCGTCCCGATTCCGTCCGTATTGCAGGTCTCTCCAGCATGTCAGCCTGTCTGGTCACACGGCGGTGAATGCTACCCCGGGTCACGAGGCTTCTGTACAGGGTTTCAGGCTGGCAAGCTGACAAAATCTGTTTTAACATGGTCAGAGAGTGGTAGAGATGCAGATTTTCTGCTGACAGCCACTTCAGCGTTTTCAACACGTCACTGATGTGGTCGTATTTGCGGCGGCCTGAAATAACGCGTGCGCCGAAGTTGAGCGGTTTCTGCAGTCTCGCCATCTGTGTGGTGCCGCACACACCATATACACTAATACAGTAGCGCACCGATGAGACGACGAGTGCCTGTACAATGGTAGCGAGCGTATCCGGTGGAAGCGCGTGCCTACTGTGGCTAAGTCCGCTTAGTAAGCCGGTGCAGCGTCTCACAACGTCATCCACATGTGCCGAAAAAGTCATTTCTATCGAAAACTACGCCAAGGTTTTTGACAGTGACGGAACCGGTAATCGTAGCCCCCATAAACTGAACCCGTGTCGGAGGCATCGAGCGGAGATTTTGACCTGTTCCGATGACGAGCAGCTGTGTTTTGTTAGCGTTAACCTTCAGTCCATTTTTACGAAACCATAATGACAACACTTCAAGGTTCCTCTCTAGTCTAGGGACCAGTTCATTGTCACTGGGCCTACCAAACACTGCCATTTGCACGTCGTCAGCATATTGCACGAGACAGCGGTCGTGGGAAATATCTGCATCGAGGTACAGCGGCATGTCCGCTGCGTAGACAGCGTACAGCAAAGGACCCAGCGCAGATCCTTGATACGTGCCTATCGGGTTCAGTAGAGGCCTTGAGAGCGTACGTCCCCCATCCGGTGTGCTTATGAGGACCTGTTAACAATGCGGGAGCACAAACTTCTCTGGCTGACACCGTGGTCCAGAGCACACTGTGCCACCCTGATTGCATAACCGAGCCCCAGATGAGGTCTGAAATCTAATATTACCGGCTTTCTCTGACACATCTGTGTTTCCGTTTGAAAAAGCGGCAAGACGAACATTGAAATAGCGAACTTTTCGTGCCGGATGGCGGCGTTTAATCAGATTAGTCTAGCGTGGTGTTTCCGTGGAAAGGAAAGCGAAGCAGCGACCGCACTTTTCGCGACTTTTTTCAGCCTTCTTCTGAATATTTAAGTGGAGCGAAATGTGACTTGCATATGTTGCCTGCAGCCACCGTTGTTTCCCTTACCAGCAGTTTCACGCCAATTATGCCACCTCAATTGATGTTAATTAACAAAACATTTAGCCTTATGATACAGTGCACTGTGATCCCATATACATAGGTATATACGGGATGTACTTTTGACGGCAGTTTTCAACTGGTTGATTAATGCGCTGTGTTCTAAAAAATAAAATGATGTATCATTGTCGGCCATTCAGTATCGTTGATATTGAGCCTTCATTTTCTGTTTTATATTTCACCTTTCTTCCATGTGCATTCAGCTGTTGGGAATGGAATCAAATGGGCTAGCAATATTGGCCCAGAAATACGCTCTTTATTACGGTATAAAGAGCCTTGTTTTATTACAAGACACTTTTACGAACGGTGATTTCAGACCCGGCGCCGTTTTATGTGGTCGCTGATAACGGTAATATGACTTGCTCGATATTGATCGTCCTGCCCGTGGTGCCCAATAATGCAGCGGCCCTTTGAGCTGTTTACCGTGTGACGGGCCTGAGCCAGTCGCTGGTTCACAATCGGCCATTATATGGCTCCTAAATCAATATCGATTTGGTTGTAATCGGTCTGACGCCGTTATTTATTTCCCATCCGGTGGCGTGGGATTGTCGCCGCCCTTCACCCGAAAAACTTCAGCACTGAATGAATGAATAAAACACTGCAAACAGTCTTCTGTAAATGGCGGGAACGGAAGGTGGCCACCTGACAAGGGCGCCATTCTTGACGTCATAAAGCGAATAGTTTTGCATGTGTTTGTGAAACGATTAGATGCAACCTTAATATCCTACGGGGAAAAAAATTGTATATGATGTCGTATATTTGTCCAATTCAAATAATCATCCTACTGAAACATGCGGTCATTGACCTGATTTTGGTTACGTGGGCATCTTACATGTACAATAAACATAACATCTAGGGACGACCTTCTCCGTGCACCTAGCAATCTCCCATCCGCACCAATTGTGCACTCTGGTGAGCTGGTCTGACTGACCGTGACTGCTGCGGTGCACGGCTCACACCACCGCACAGTGTGTGCACACACAGAGATCGATGCGCCGAGCGCCGTGTGTCGTGCCGTCGGCGCTGGGGCGAGCCGGACCAGCGATTGCGCGGATGATTGGCGTCCAGTGAAGTACCAACATACGGCGCGCGATCCAACGGTGAAATGCACCCGAATCGCCGGTGCAGTTGGAATTGGAGTTTTTGTGGGGTAGATAGTGTCCCTTCTAAAAGAGTCATGTCGGTGTTCGGTGGTGACCGCGTGGTCTAGCTATGCAAGCTCGAATTCCGTGGTGCATATAGGTACCGTGTGGATGTATGAATGGTCAAAAGTCTGACACAATGAGATGCGACTGGCTGTGTAACTGAAAAATTCGCTGGTTTGCAGGAGATGGTAACCCCGCTGTGCTGTCGTTGGTGCCAATTTCAATCGGTGACAAACTATTTTGGTCGAATGTCGGTTGGTGGAATGACAACCTTGGCGCGACCGTAATTGCCCACGTAATGCAGCGCGGGACATCGAACATGATGCTCCATCATTTATCATAGTTTACTGACAAGTGCTCTATCTCCCACTGAACACCGTGGGCTTTTCTTATGGAATTTTTTGAACTACTGTGGTCTGTGAACTCAACTTTTTCATCCGCTTTTTCGCGCTCCCCTGCTTAGTAAGCTATTATTTGCGTATCTTCCGTTCCCTCGTGGCTCCATTTTCCTCTTGAATTCAAACGGTACCTAAATAGCTATCACTCTACGACTTGGTTCTTTAGGCTGTCGCCCAGACCCAATACTCACGCAGCGGCCGCGCTGCAGTGCGGGTTGCCTACCACCCAGGCGTTCGGTAGAGCTGCCGTGCGGGTTGCCTACCATCCCAGGCGTTCGCCAGCGCTGCCGTGCGGGCTGCCTACCATCCCAGGCGTTCGGTCCATTACGCAGCCGGTTGCGCGGGCTCGCTCCTCCGACGGCTATTGAATTGGAGCCGATTTAGCGTGGAGCGGCAGATTCTGTATCCATCATGGCCTGGGACGATGGGAGACCTGCGATGGGTGGCGAGAATGGATGGCTGGAACGCCGAGCGACGGAGGGGTGTGTCTGGGCTTGCCTGGAGCGGGGGGGGGGGGGGGCAAGGAACTGGTCTGTGGGTGAGCAGCTGCACCATTTTCGGCACGGTGGACTGGGGGATTCAGTGACGTGCTGAATTCGCGAGAATAATGACTGAGTGATGATCTGTCGAGATTTCTCGGAGTAAGAGAAACGCGGTGCAATAAACTTGGAGATGGTTAGGAGGAGCAAGAACCGTGGAATCTACAAAAGATGAGCGAAACGCAGAGCAAACGCATATACTTTTGAACATTATTACGCGTTGGAGGCCTGATTTACTGAAACGCCAAACAGCTAACTTTTGTTTTCTGTTCAAAACTTTGACCCATCTCGCCTTTTGGCGAAATATTAACGGACTGTCCTTTCGCGTTTCAATCTTGCTCAGAGCCATCGTTTCAGTTCTGCGACACCAGCTGCAAAACCGCCCCGCTGAAATGCTAGATCCTGCCATCATCTATCTTCAGCCGCTG